CCCAGACCCCGAGGGCTTTGCCAGCCGGGGCACAGCTGGGCGCCCCGGCCCCGGGCTGGGTCCTCTGAGCCTCTGGCCACCCCGAGTGGCAGCGTGGGGTGCCGAAGTACCGCCAGAGAGAAAACTACTTGGTTCGAGTTTAGTTTGTGTGGAGCTGGCAGCCGCAGACTGAAGGTCCCTCGGGCCCCGGTGACCTTGGGCAAGGAACAGGGCGCCCGGGGACCTCTGTTTCCCTGTCAGATCAGGGGTGAGACGGGGTGACCTCCCGAAGACTGTTCGGTTGTAGGGCGCTCTGCGGGGCGCTCTGCATGGAGCTGCAGGGCCTGGCGGTGTGAAGTTGGCGCCCTGGGGGGCAGGGTCGCTGTGGGCTGTGCCCGAGGGGTGGCCGCCGTGGCACCCTCCACAGAGCCTCTGCGGCAGCCCTGGGTGAGCGTGGATTTGACAGCGTCTGGGAATTCTCTTTATCTTGAGTTAGCAATCACAGAAGGACCGGAAAGTACCCATTGAGGAGGACCATTTTTGGGCCAGCTGCAAATTGAGGGCCATAGTGTTGGGCAAACAGGAAACCTGAGTTTTAGTCTCAACTTAGACAAAATGGGCAAGTCCTACCACCTTGCACCCCATTTTTTGTATCTGTGACTTCCCCACACCCACCTCAGAGCAGTGATGGTGGGAACCCCTGAGACCGTGTCTCTGGGGACATCTTACCTCTTCAGGGGAAAGGGTCCCAGAGTAAGTCCACGGGCGTTACCTTAGCTGTGGACCCCTACACAGTTTTTCTCTAAAATGTGTCTCCATTCTTGAGCATAAGTAAGCTCCTAAGTCACCCTTTGTTTTTCTGGGAAAATGGCCTGTCCAACCAGGAAGTACTTGAGATTTAATGCATGCTGGTTTTTTGTGTTCCCCTGAAGCCTTGATCTCCCTGGGATCACAGCTCTTCGAGGCAGTGAGTATGTCCTATGCAGATGCGCTGAGTCAGAACCCACAAGTCAGTAAAAGCCACCTGTTCTGGGAAAGGGTGTCAAAGGTGTTTTACACACACAGCCTGTGGAGTGCCAGAATTTGCTGTTGGTGACGGCATTCGAAGTAAGGGCTGGCATTAGATGTTTTTCAAGCGACACAGTGAAGTTCTGCCTTGAGTAGGTTTTACGATAAAATGTCCATAGAACCCTGTCCCTGTCTGTGCCTGTCTGTATTGAAATGAGCGCCTCTCCGGTACGAGTCCCACCCTTTGGCCTCAATATGCAGGTGTGTCTGCGTTACAACATCTGTGAGGCGCAGCTACTTCCTGGAGACTTGGGTCATGCTTAGTTTAGCCAAGGGCATGGTTTTGGATATTGTTTCATTATGACTTATCTGATGATGTATCCAAGTTGTGCCCATAATTTATTTATTTTATGCCGGAACACCTGTCTACACTGACATACACATCTGTCAAATGGGAGGATCTTAGAAGTTAAAGAAACCTTACACATCCTCTTGTCCCTGTGCTTTTCAAACTTTTTTTTTTTTTATTGCATTCATTGGTTGATTTTTGTATTTGCCCTGATGGGAGATAGAACCCACAACCTTGGCATATCCAACGCTCTGACCAATTGAGCTACCCAGCCAGGGCTTCAGACTTTTTTGATTGTGACCCCACAGTAAGAAACACATTTTTAAATCCTGATCAAGCCACACACGCACACCAGTGTCTCTAGATCTGAAGTACATGTTTCACAAACAGTTTTTTTTCCTGTAGGCAGTGCATACAGAATATGTTCTGTTTTATTTCATATTTTTAAAAAAATATAAAGAAAACGAATGCTGTTTGGGAACTTCTAACTTTATTGCCCAGCTCATTTCTGGACACTGCTCTCGTCTCCTCTCGTCTGACAGAGGCCTGGGAAGATGGTCTCAGGGCCCATCAGCTGCCATTCTTTTGGCTGTGAGTTTGGTACTTTTTCCACTTCACCACATAGTCCTAGTTATCAGATTTGTGTGTCTTGGTTATCCTGACAACGTACGATTCTGGAGTCACTCAGTCCCTTCAGCGCCTTCCATCGGCTTGTCCCCTCCCCTGTTTTCTGTAGGTCTGCTCTAACTTGGCCTGGAACGTGCCCCTTCTCTTCCATTTCACGCTCCATTGAGACCATTGTCACGCTGAGGAGCCTCCCACCACGTGGACCCATTCATCTGTGGCTGGGTCACCCCCTTGTCCAATCCCAACCCCCATGTCTTTGGGGATCTTGCTCTTTTCTGACCTCCTGGTTAACCCACTGCTCATTGGAGGCCTGTCTGTCTGTCAATGTACTTGGAAGGGCCTTAGGTGTGTGTGTGCTGTGTGTCCTCAAGCACCCGCCCCTTACTTCCTCCCTCCCCATACTTCCTATGGCCTTTTGCACCTGCCCTTTTCCGAGGCCGAAACACTCCATCCTACCTGGGGCCAGGTGGGATTTGGAGACCCAGCCAGACCCAAGCAGCTTTAGACTCTGTAGAAGTGAGACCTGATTTGTGATTCCAGAGGGAGTGGGTCAAACTGGTTTGAAAGTATAAACCCAAACAAGCAAATAACCCAGAGAGTGAGGCAGAGAGTATCTCCACTGAAACATTTTAATTTAGAGCAACAAGAGAGATGGGGCATTTGTGATTCCGCTGCCCATTGATAAATAAGAGACTCCTCGTCTAGGTGCAAAAGGCAAATTGTGAAAGACTTTACGTTTCATCCACTCATTCATTCATTCAACCAACAAGCCATTAACCATTAAATACACATGTATCGATTCTGTGCTTGTCCCAGACACTGTGGTAGGTCCCCCTTGAGTGTCCTGGGTAATCCCAAACTGTTTCTTTTTGTTGTGAAAGGATGGGTTAGGTTTTAGAGGCATTTTGAATAGGTAGCCATGCATTATTACCATGTCACAACTTTTGTGTGATTTTGTAGGATCTGGAGTAGGAAAACCTGCAAATCACGGGAAGGGGGTGGTGGATACCCCCAGGTAGTAGGAGCCTTGAAAGGCACCGTCTGTCTCCTGTGAGTGGTGTTTATAGTTATGACTCTCCCGATGGATTTCTCCCGGGACTAGCAAACAGTGGCTTCCCGGGGCGTGCTGGAGTTAATGACCTAACATCTCTGCGCTCAGTGCTCTCAGAGGAACTAGCTGTGCCATTAAGGGAAGAATACTTGGGGTTCCTACCTGACTTTGACCGAGTAGGGATGACAAAAACAGAATGTGTTATGAATAGTGTTTGACGTAAGGTGAAAACACACTGATCCTTCCAGAAAGAAAATAGAACATCGGCGTGCAGTGCGCGACACCCAGTACAAGAATATCCCATTAGGAAGAATTTAACTTTCTAAGAACAGATGCATGGAAACTGAGGTAGGCGAGGTGTGGGGAAGGGGGGGGAGGTTGCTCAGGGTTTTTCCTTTGGTGTCCCTTCTCCCTTCCTCCAGATGTTCTTACTGCCACACCTGGTTCTTCTGGCCCCGTCACTGCCATCAAGCATGTTTCTCTAGCAGGTGCTGAGCTCTTGCCTCCATCCCACCAAAACTTACTTTCCCACGGTTCTGTGTTGAGGGGCCTCACTTTCCAGTTGCAAAAGATCTAACAAGGTGTTTTGTGTTTCTTTGTTCATGGGCAATCACTCCTTGGTGTGTTTTCCCTTCCAAACGTATTTGCTTTTATTTAGGATAATCTTGGAGGCTCAGTCTTACAACTCTCCTGGTGGCAGGGCATATGTGTGGAAGGGGCCTTTTTTCCTTCTTTCCTGAAGGAATCATTTAAATTATACCATCCCCAGGTCACTGAAAGCAGATCCCTGATGTCACTTCCTACCTTCTACTCTGCTTTTGCCCCCACCCCCCCTCCAAATTCTCTACTCTGTTCCGTTTTGATAATCCCACCTAAGACCCCAGAATCCAGCTTTAGCAATTGCAGTGCTCATTTTGGTCACAGATTTATCTTGTCTATTGGATTTTGCTGAAGCTTAATCTTAAAGCTATAAATCTGCTTCACTCCAAGAAGCCTTGTGCACAGGAATCTAAATCTCAACGTGGATACTCTCAGATCATTGTTTGGCCATCAGAGTGACTATTTCCCCCTCCCCGTCATGATCACTTTAAATAACATGCTTCTAATTTGTCTGAGAAACTTAATTTACAAAAGTTAAATAAACCAAACCTTTGGAAATAGGAGGTGAGTTCTAGCCCCCGACCATTACCTCACCATGAACAGCTGTCGTGTCCTGTGAAAGACCATCATGTCACCGTGAATGGGGGGCACAGCCCACCATTGTTTTTAAATGAGGGGACCCAACCACATCACTTCTGAGATGCCTTCTGAGAGGCTGTGTTTCATGATTTTCAGGGAAAGTACCTCATGTTTTCAA